GGCCCCCCCAAGACGTCTCAATAAGTGAAATTATGGAAGATCCAATTGTTTTGCCACATGGTTGTTCAAACGTAAGCGTTTAGGGCGATTTCGGAGGCTGTCGTTTGCCTTTTTGGAGGGCGTCTTGGAGGTATCTGGAGGTTTCTTGGGGGGCGTCTTGGAGGCAGGTCTTGAGTTCCTTGGGGGTCTTTTGGGACCCTATTGCGGGCCTCTTGGGGGCAAGTTGGAGTCTCTTGAAGCCTCTGGGGGGCCTCTGTGGGCTTCCTGGGGAAATCTTGGGCCGTCGTGAACTCTTCTTTGGCCGTCTTGGAGCCTTCTTGGGCGCCTCCTGGGCCCTCTTGGGGTTGTCTTGGGCCGTCTTGGGGCCGTCTTGGGCCGTCTTGGGCCTTTCTTTGGCCGTCTTGGGGCCCTCTTGGGCCGTCTTGGAAACTGTGAAGGCCCAAGAGGCGCCCAAGCGGAACTGCGTGGCCTTGGGAATGGCGACCATCCCCCCCCTCCTCCTGCAGGGCGAGATCGCCCGCCCCGCTCCCGAGCACTGAAAATGGCGTCGGGCATGGCGCCCCCCCCCGGTGGCTCCCGAGCACTGAATGGTGTCGGGAATGGCGGCCCCCCCTCCCTTGCAGAGCTCTGGACGCCCGAAATGGGTATTGAAAGAATGGGTACAATGCCCAACAGCAGTTCCTGTTCATTTTGAAACAGATCCGCTGTCCACGCCGCCGCGGCCTGTGTCCATTCGAGACAGGAGGCCGCCTGCCCAACAGCGGCCGCTGTTGGTTTGGGACAACATCTGCTGTTGGGCGTCGTACCCATTTTTTCGGTACCCATTTCGGGCGTCCAAAAGCGCGACCCCCCCCCGGGCTCCCGAGCACTGAATGGCGTCGTGATTGGCGTTCCCCCCCCCCCCCTGCATAGCGAACCCCCTTGGGCTCCAGAGCGCTGAGCGGCGTCGGGAGTGGGTTCCCCCCCTTGCAGAGCGAAGCTTGAGCGAGCTCGAGTGCACGCTCTCAGAAACTCACACGCCAGATCGGCGGCTTTTCTCCAACCTGGCGCCGACGCGTCAGATCCACGGATCCCCGATTCCCTGAGGTCCGACAATGCTAAAAAATTGCAACATCGTGAAAAACCAGGAGGAGGAGGAGGAGGAGGAGGAGGAGGAGGAGGAGGAGGAGGAGGAGGAGGAGGAGGAGGAGGAGAGTGGAGCCCCAGAACCCATCCATCTGCGCCCTCTTTCGAGCCGGATCCATCTGTGAGGGCCCCCCGGGGCCCGACAAATCGGGCGACAGCGCCCGCCGTGACAAAAAATCAGGGTCGGGGCTTATGGGTGCCCCGGCCGGCCACAAGGAGAGGCCGCTCCCGCTGCCGGGGGCCCGCCGTCCACCCGTCGGCGAGGCGCATACCCGCTGCCGCGCCGAGATGCCCTCCTCCTCCTGCTCCTCTTCCTCCTCCTCCTCCTCGTCCTCCCTCTCCTCCTCCTCCCCCTCCTCCTCTTCCTCCTCCTCCTCCTCCTCCTCCTCCTCCTCCTCCTGCCTCCTCTTCCTCCTCCTCCTCCTCCTCCTCCTCCTCCCTCTCCTCCTCCTCCCCCTCCTCCTCTTCCTCCTCCTCCTCCTCCGCCTCCTCCTCCTCCTCCTATTCCTCCTCCTGCTCCTCCTTCTCCCCTTGCCGACTCCTCCCTCCCTCCTCTCCGGGGAATCCCAGACAGACCGGGACCGCTATACTCCCCCGCCCACGGGACGGGCCCCGGCCTCCGGCGTCGCGCTCTCTTAACGATCCGGGGCCCCCGCGGAGCTCTCGGCCCCCGTCCTGCAGGGGCTCTCGGCCCCGGCCGGTCTCGCCTCCCCGGGGGTCGCGCTTCCTGGTGGCCCGTGGGCCCGAAACTCGGCTCGGGGGGGGACCCAGACCCCCTCGCGTCATGAAGAAATCACGACGGGAGGTTTTTCGCAATTTTCGGCCTCTGGGGGCCCCTACCGGGCCTCGGGAGCGTCAAAAAACGACTCGGGATGCAAGGCCGGTCATGGGAAAAGGGTCGGGACCTCTGGGGGTCGACGCAATGAAAAAATCATGACGTCGGGGGTCTGGGGAGGTACCATGCCTCCAGCCTTCCCTGGTTTCTCCTTTTTGGGCCTCCTGGGCGGCCCTCGCCGCCACCGCTGGATTCGCCTCGAAATCCTGGTCATATAACTCACCCTGGGAGAGGTTCGGGGAGTAGCCGTAACGGTGCCTTTTGATTTCCCCAGGGTCGGTCTTCACTGTGGCCCTTGGGCCCGAAACTGGCCTCCAGAGGCCGACATCGAGGAGACGACGCCGATATCGACCATATCGCGACGCCAGAGGTCTGCCCCCCCCTCTTCCGGCTCCCCGCGCCCAACTTGGCGGCACCCGTGAGGGGGTGCAGGGGTGGGTGTAGGGGGGCGGCGGGGCTTCTCGGAGCAGGGGGCCTTCGGCACCAGAGGCCTCCGAAACAGGCCTCTCAGAAGCCGGGCGGGCTTCACGCGGTCCCCCCTGCCCTGCTCTCCGAGAAGCCCCGCCTCCTCAGGAAGCCCTCCCCCCCTCCGTCCCAGACCCCCGACGTAATGCTTTTTTCATTACGTCGACCCCCAGAGGTCCCGACCCTTTCCCCATGACCGGCTTTGCATCCTGAGTCGTTTTTTGACGCTCCCGAGGCCCGGTGAGGGCCCCCAGAGGCCGAAAATTGCGAAAAACCTCCCGTCATGATTTTTTCATTACTCGAGGGGGTCTGGGGTGCCACCCCCTCGAGGGCGCCGCCAGCCAACCTCGCCCAGCTACTGCGCGCCCTCCCCGCCGCTCGGGAGGCGACCCGCCGTGCCGCGCGCGCCCGCCCGCGTGCGCCCGGGGGCCCGTCCGCCCGCGGCTCGTCGGCCGCGTGCGCCGAAGTCTGCGCCCGGCGTCGGCTGGCTGACTCGGCGGGGTCCGCAGAGGGGGCGGTGCCGATGCCGTTGCCCGGGCGCGTCGGCTGGTTCGACTTCGTCCGGAGAGGAAGATGTGCCGATCCCGCCACCCCTCCCCTCGTCGCCACGGTTGGATTCGCCTGGAGATCCTGGTCAGAACGCGCCCGGGAGAGGTCCGCGGATGAGTGAAACAAATCGTATCGTTTTGTTTCCCCGCCTGGGACTCGGATGATGGTGATGGTAGCGATTGTGAGGAGGACCAGGAGGTGGAAGAGGTGGAGCAAAACAAGGTTAATGGTGGTGAGGAGGAGGGCTGGAGCAAACCTGGCACGCATCACATGCTTGTGCGCGCAATTGCTACAGCACGCCATCCCTTTTCAAGCATGGGGCCTGAGCATACAAATCGGTTTGGGTTCTTAACTGGCTTGGTGATTAAAACCGATTTCTTGGAGGCCCCAGCATTTTGCTCCTGCCAGCCCATTGGCTTGCAACAGGTTCAGCACTCGATCGGACTAAGGATGGAGGGTTGGATGGATGGATCGATGATGAGGTCGCGACCCTACTTTGATTCCGGTACTTGAAAAGTTGGGAATTGCCATGCCACAGAGCGTGGGCGCGGAAGTTCCCCGATCTGTTACAATGCGAGTCGATGGTCACACCGTAATTCACCCATGTCATGGCCCCATCCTGGAGCTTACTTTGACTCGGGTGGAACATATCTTCTGTGTTGGCGCGAAGATTGTATTTAGGTTATTTCCGTTCCTGCACCCGTGTAGGTAATTGTTGGGTGTTCGCGGAAGCGTGACCGGAAGTTGTGAGGGCTCTTCAGGCGAGAGTCTGCTTTGAAAGGCAGGCGCGTTCCATAGATGATCTTAGATGCAGATGTAGGGTGGAACATGGCAGTAAGGTTGTATCGAAGCCTCAGGCACAAGCGTTGCTCTCCAAGGAACCGTTCTCCTTCCATCACCCTTTAGAAGTTCAAGCTTCAGGGCCGTCGCTTGTGAGAAAGGTTACTGCCAGACTGGACTATGAAAATTAGCCGCCCTTCAGGAGTGTTGCTGGTTGCGCCGTGAGGTATCAAGCGATAGCCATATTCAGACACATTCCGCCCCACCCTTTGTTTGGGGTGGTCGGCGATTTCGGGTCCAGAGTGGTCGCCAGCGTGGAACCCAAACATTGGGCTCCTACACTCTGAATGTGCAAGCATGTTGGTGCAATCTGTGTATGGTGCAACCTATGTGTTGCAACGCGTACGTTGCAATGACAATGAATGTAGTGCAATCTATGTCGTTCAACGTTTGGGGTCCAATACTTACCTGCCTGCGGCAAGTCCAGCCATCAGCACTGTGGATGGCGACTGGATCGAAGGGCGCACAGGAGGCCAGCACGTGTAACATCTCGTGCCCCGAGGCTTTGGAGAGCCGCGACATGTGACACGGTGTTCCGCGTCGTGTCGGGTGTATCCTCGTGTTCGTCTTCTTGTTCCTGCCTTCGTCTTCCCTCCTCCTCTCTGGGGGCCTCTTGGGGGCCTTTTGGATGTCTCTTGGGGTCGTTTTCGGTGCCGGGCCTCTTGGGCGCTCCTTGGGCTGCCTTTGAGCGCTCTTGGACAGCTTGGCGCCTTCGAAGGCTCGGGCAATGGGGTCGCCTTGGGGCCATCTTGGACCGCATTGGAGGCATCTTGGGCCATGTTGGCGGACTTGATGGCCTGGCTCTGCCGTCTTGGAAGCAATTTTGGGTGCCACCTGAATTCGACTCCACACCAGAGGTCCACGCCCTTCTCCAGTCTGCACTTGGCACAAGATCTTATCCAACCGCTAGCTTGCCTCTGCAATTGGAGAGCACATGCGCAGTCGGATGGACAAGCGTGGGGGAGCGTGCGTATCGTGTCTGCTGCCTCTTTCGAGGGCGGGGCCCAGATCCATATCCAGGGCCTCACGGGCCCGCCCCACGGGCCGCCACCCCATGGATACGGGCCATTTTTTCGCGGATGTCCCGCGCGGAACGTATCCATGCCACGACGTAGCCACGGGACCGGGTCGCGCAGTGCAGACCGCGAGGGCGTGGATATGGATACGTTCGTCGCGCGTGACTCTCGGCTGAAGCCTCGGCTGCGGGGCGGCCCGCGCGAGCGCGGCGAGCGCGGCGGCGGATGCGCGGATGCCCCGGCGCAAGAAGTGGAGCTCCGACAGCGTGTGGGCGCTCGCCGCCGTGGGGCTGCTGGTGCTGTGCTGCCTGCTGCTCGTCGGCCTGAGCCACTCGCACATCCGCCGGCTGCACGAGGAGGACGCGGCCGCCGCCGAGCTCGCCGCGGGCCGCCTGGGCGTGCGGCTCCGCGCCAGCGCGCCAGGGCCGGCAGCGGCAGGCGCGCCGCCGCCGCGCGGCGAGGACGCCGCCGCCCCGGCGAGGGAGGCGCGGCGGCAGCCCGCAGCGGGCGATGGGGGCGGGGGGGCGCCTCTCGGCGCGGGCGCCGCCGCGCCAGCGAGGGAGGCGCGGCGGGAGTCCGCAGCGGGCGCCGAGGCCAAGTTCGCTTGGCCTCCGCACGGCGCCGACGGCTGGGAGGACAACTCGAGCCCGCGTGCGCCGGAGCCCGGGGACCGCGACCAGCCCACGGCGCAGGCGCTGCAGGTGCTTCCTGGCGCGGACTCGGAGCACCTGCACGGGCTCGTGGGACGAGACGCCGACGGCGTGCCGCTGATCCCGCCCACGCCACTGCCCGAGGTGAAGCACCGGTATGCGGACGAGGCTGCGTTCATGAAGGCCTCTCACACAGGCACGCGGTTCCACAAGTTCATGAGCGACTCGCTCTCTTTGGACATCGTCCGTGACGACTTTCGGTCGCCCGCTTGCAGGGCCAAGCACGAGACTTACCCTTTCGACCAGATGCCGAAGGTGAGTGTGGTCATCGTCTTCTACAATGAGCACCTCTCCGTGCTGCTGCGGAGCATCCACTCTGTGCTGAACCGCACGCCTCCCAGGCTGTTGGAAGAGATCTTCGTGGTTGACGACGGCAGCGAGGCGGATCCAGAGGCCGTGGACTACGACCATTGGCTCAGGCTGCAGGACGAGCTCACGAACTACTGCAAGAGCCTGCCAAAGGTTCACATCGTGCGCCTTGGGCGGCGCAAGGGCCTCATGAACGCGCGTATGGAGGGCGCATGGCGGGCGAAAGGTGAGATCCTCGTGTTCCTGGACAGCCACATCGAGTGCACGATTGGCTGGGTGGAGCCACTAATTGCGCGCATAATGGAGGACCGGAGGCACGTGGTCGTGCCCACCATTGACGGACTCGACAGCGTCAGGTTCAAGTACATCCCCGGCGGCGGCCTCGGGGTGCTGAGCTTCACCTGGTCGCTGGGGCAGGCGCCGCAGATGTCATCGACCAATGACTCAAACCCTGTGAGGTCCACCATCATGGCGGGCGGCTTGTTCGCCCAGGACAAGGCCTACTTCCTCTACCTGGGCGGGTACGACCAGGGCATGACCAGCTACGGGGGGGAGGAGATGGAGATAGGCTTCCGGACCTGGCAGTGCGGGGGCAACATCGAGCTCGTCCCCTGCTCCCATGTCGGCCACATTTTTCGCAATAAGCTGTACTGGGACCACTCGGCATACAAGGTTCCGAACGGGGACATCTCTCGGAATAAGCTGCGTGCGGCCTACGTCTGGATGGACGAATACCTGCCCCTGGCGAAGGCCAACCACCACCTCGTGCCGGAGCAGACCTTGGGCGACATCAGCCCTAGAGTAAGGCTCTGGGGGAGTCCGCATGATCTCTCTATCTTTCTCTCTCTCTCTCTCTCTATCTCTATCTCCTTCTCTTTTTTGTTGTTGTGTGCGCTTGTGTACATTTACATACATGTATGTACATCTATATAGACATTTCCCTACCACCTTGTATAGAGTATCACACTACATATGTGTTTACATATGTGTTCATGTTCTCTCTCTCTCTCTCGCCCCCCCTCTCTCTATATTACTATTACCTTCTTTTTTGTTTTTCTCTCTCTCTCTCTCTGTCTCTCTCTCTCTCTCTTTTTTGTTGTTCTCTCTCTCTCTCTCTTCCCCCCTACATTTTCTCGCCTTCCCTCCTCGATTTCCCCGCCCTCCCCTGCGCTCGTCTCCTCATCCTCTTCGTCCCCGCTCTTCTCTTCGCCTTCTCCCTCTACTCTCTACTGCCAAACCCGTGGAAATCTCCGAGGCTTCGCGAGAAGCTCGGCTGCAAGTCCTTCAAGTGGTACCTCGAAAACGTCGCCACCGACCTCGTGGCCCCAAGCTTGGAGGGCCTGCGCGTGGGCGCGCTGCAGAACAAGCATCACGGTGCATGCATCCCAGGAGACCGGGAGGATCGCCGTTTGTTTGGAGCCATGTATTGCTGGGAGGCTACCACAGGCCTCTTACTTTGGGGTCGACCCGACCTAAACGGAGTTTTGGCGATTTCGTGGGTGCTCGTTTCGACTCCGTCTGCCAGCAAAGGCGGACTGGAGACAAAACGAGGGACAACGAAAACAACACGAACACGAACAACACTGTTTTGGTCGAGCCCTGCCTCTTACCAGGGGGTCGACCATCCTGTGGTGCCCAAGGTGCGTTCGACCACCCGCTCGGCGGGCTCGGAGGCTGTGGGATGGACGCCCCTCCGTACCAGTGTTCGGGGATTGCGCGCGCAACAAGCAAATGCGAACCATGTGGACTTTGGCCCGTTTCCCGACTGCCTCAGGGCAACCGGCGCTCGAGGTGGGGACCAACACACAATTGAGGGCACCGATTGTCCTGAGGTTCGGCATCGGACTCAGCCGCGCTGCGTACACCTTGACAGTGGGAAGCAGCTGAGGAGCAGGGGGGTCGGTAGCAATGCATGGGAGCCTTGTGTGACCTCGCAATTCCGTCTTAGCGTGCACTAGCGTCGATTCGCGGCTGGTAATCGATGAGATAACGCTCTAATCGATTAGCGCCGACTTGGCGTCGAGTAGCGTCGGTTCGCAAGCGCCAACAACATTGCATGGGATATTCCCATGAGTTGCCACAGAAGGGGGGCGGAATGAGGAGGGGAAGAGTGCTTCGGGGTAGGAGGAGCATGAGGAAGTTTGGAGAGTGCTTGCCCCTATGACGGCATCCTCCGTAGTCCCTGGACCATTGACAGCCTTGGCGGCTCCAGGGCGGGGGACGAATTCGGGGCCTATGCCTGCCACTTCACCGGCGGGTCCCAGACGGTCATGCGGGACGGAGAAGGCCGCTTGTTGGGTGCAAAGCTGCTGCTATCGCTTTTACTCCTCCTCTTCTGCGAGAGGGGATGGGGAAGAGGTTTTCTCTAGATCTCCTCCTTCCCTTTCGGTCTTCCGTCTTCTTCCCCTTATCCCCGCTCGTCGTCCTCCTCCTCCCCCTCCTCCTCCTCCTCCTCCTCCTCCTCCTCCTCCTCCTCCTCCTCCTCCTCCTCCTCCTCCTCCTCCTTTCTTTTCTTTAGGAATAATTTACCCGTGTCGCACTCCGGGTCCGGCTTTTAGGGTGGTCCGGGCGTTTCGCCTGAGACTTCTCCACCATTTAAGACCTTGAAGCTGAAAAGTTGACAACAGTTCACAATTGGAGGGCGGGTGGTTTTCAAAGTGCGGCTCGCCCTAGCGCCGCGCACATTCTTTTTCAAAAATTGCCAGGGTTCCACGCATTGAGGGCGGGTCGTTTTCAAAATGTGTCGTTCGCTCTTTAGCGCCGCGCACAGAAAAAACATTGCAAGAGATTCACGGATTGAGGGCGGCTCCATTTCAAAATGTGGTTTTCGCCTTAGCGCCGCGCACATTCGTTTTCAACAGTTGCACGAGTTTCACGGGTTCCCATGATCAGCGTAGTAGAAATGGTGTTTTGGAAGGACTCAGGATTATGAGGGCGCAACAGATACGTTGACTCGCGGTATTGAAGTCCCAGGAATGGCGTTCTGGTGCGATTCAGGATCGTAAACACGCGACAGTCGGGTTGATCCGTGGCGTTAGAATCCCTAGAACAATGTTTTAGCATGCATCAGGGTCTTCAAACGGTTGTCTTCCAACGAAGCAGTTCCCCTAGTGGAAATAAACCATTGTAGGGGCCTATGAAGAGGGAGCTCGGAGGGAGGGTTTATCCGAACATCGTTGCTGACTCTTGGGTTTACACTGGTCCTCCTTCTCCTCCTCGTCCTTCTCCTCTTCCTCCGCCTCCTCCCCTGTACTTATGCTGGTGGGCCTTACCCTCCCTAATGGGGTCGTCATTCACGGTGCTCGCCTTTCGGCCTCGCTCCACCTCCCTTGTAGTTGTGCTGTGCGGAAGGCTGCAGAGGACCATGCCAATCTACCAGGTTCCCGCGAGCGCGGGTGAGGGTGAAGTGGCGGCCCAGGGGGAGGGCCATCCCCCATATTTTCCGACAAGGTGAAGGCAGGTGCCATTGCCATTATCTAGTGTTGGCCGAGCGGCAACTGTTCCGGTTCCAGCATCATGGAATCGCTGATCAGGGAGGGCTCAGCAGGTTGGCCCATGCGTTGCGAAGACTTGTTGCGCAAAGATTCCCAGGAGCGCCCTCCAGAACTGACAGAACCCAAGTGGCGGCCAACGGTCGGGCACCTGGTGGCACAGTTGAGCTGAAACGATGCATGGACGGCAAAGCCTGCGACAGGCGCGCGGAGGACGCCCTCCTCCTCCTCCTCCTCCTCCTCCTCCTCCTCCCTCCTTCTCCCCCCTCCTCCTCCTCCTCCTCCCTTCTCCTCTCTTCCCCCTCCTCCCTTCTCCCTCCTCTTCTTTCAGTTTCCTTCTTCTCCTACTCCTCCTCCTCCTCCTCCTCCTCCTCCTTTCGTTCCTCCTCCTCCTCATCAGCATCCTGTTGCTTGTTACCTGTTACCTCGGACCCTACGGGCTCCTCCTCTTCTCCTTCTCCTCCTCCTCCTCCTCCTCTTCCTCCTCCTCCTCCTCCTCCTCCTCCTCCTCCTCCTCCTTCTCCCGTAGCCATTTTGGCTCAAAGCTGCTGGTGGCCAGGCACCAAGGGCGGGCCGCGGCCGCGATCCACCTGCCCGCGTCGGCCGCTCTCCTCGGCCCCCGCGTCCGCTCCCTCCATCTCCTCCATGGAGGCGGCGCGCCAAGTGATGCCGTGGCCAATGTCCAGTGGTGTATTGGAACCTATACCAGTCTCTATTGCCAGCAGTAAAGCAGAAGAGCGATGTGCTACCCCCTGCACCCCGCCTGCTCCTGCAGGTACAGATGAGAAGCTTGACTCCAGCATGATGGCGGCACTGAGAGAGTTGATTTCCCCATTGTCGCGCAGCGTGGATTCCCTGGGGGCACAGTTGAACCTCGGTATCCAAGAGATAAACAGACAGGTCTCGGGAATCCAGGGCCACATGTTGTAGGCTGAGAAAAACTTCCAGATGCTCCAGTCCGCCCATGCTGACCTGGCTAAGGCCACTCGTGAGAACTTTGAAAGTATCCGTTTGATCCAAGAGCAAGTTCTCCAGCAGGCCATCCAGGACCGTGAGATCGCAGAGGGTAGAAGCATGGAGGATGTGAAGGGGATGATCCAGGTGATGAAGGATGAGATAGCGGAGATGAATGGGGAGTACGGCAGGGAGCTCGCTCGGTGGAGCCGCCACTCCAGACGGGAGATTCACTCGACGTCGCGTCGAAGCCGGTGATATCGGCAACCCCTCTCGGCTCGTCGTGCTCGGCTTCAAGCGTGCGCTGATGGAGAACACCCTTCGGCTTGCGGTGGGCCCGATTCCGGATAAGTGCGTTACTTAGGGGGAGCGTTCGGGGATCCAGGTCAAGGCGTTCAATTGCAGTAGGAAGGTATTTCTGGATTTCCCGTGCACTCTCCTGGAAGTTCCCGAACCCCGAGGGCGGCGATGATTTGGAGCTCAGGATCAGGCGAGACCTCCCCCAGACCTCTCGGAAGTTGTTCTACTACCTTGGGAATCTGCCTCAGCACGTGGCTACCATCATCGGGCATGGGCGCACAGGTTCCACGGGGCATGGGGACACCATCTATGTTCTGAAGAACGGGTCGATTCCAGTTCAGGTTGTCAAGATCATGATTGCTGATGACGGGCCTAGTGCAGGAAGTGCTACCATGTCTGTTGACCTCGAAGGCCTCGAAGAGATCGGAGGGGTGCAGCACGTGCCATGCCTACAAACTCGTTTCTCTCAGATAAGGCCCTTTCGGTGTGTACGTAAGCTGCGGGAAGGGCCAGGGTTGCGGGGGGTGTAATCCAGACGCTTCAGGTTCTGATGTTACGTCGGAGCCCTGGCCCCAGACTGCAGCTCTAGTGCTAATTCGTCTGACACAGCGCCACAAGTTTCCCCGCCGCTTGATGGGGGCGCGGGTGGAGTATACCGACCTCTCCGCCTTATGTCTCTGTACTTGGAACACGCGTGCTCTCTCTGCTTCTACCTCGTCTGCCTCTCTGAGAGCGAGTTCACGCTTTATTTGTCATGCCAAGAAGTTCCTTGCACGCTACCAGGTTGCGTGTTTTTCCAGGAAACCATGGATCTGTTGCTGACCTTGCGATTCTCCGCGAGGAGCTCGCGCAGATATAGCGTTTGGTTGTTTCGATGAGGGAAGTGCTGCTGGTGGGGTCGTCACTTATATCTCATCGGAGCTGCGAGAGTGCTTTCAAGAAGCGAAGGGGCGCGTTGTGATCGAGGGCAGAGTATTGCTAGTCATGTGCGCGGGCGATGCGGGGGACCTTGCGATTGTGACCGTGCACATGCCGAACACTTGCGGTGGCATTTTTGAGGACAAACGGCACCTGCGTGCAATTGAACGCGCGCTGCCGCCTGCTGCTCATTGCATGTCGATCATCCTGGGGGACTGGAACGTTGTGCATATGGAAGATGGCAAGTTCCCCGGCGACGGTTCCTTTGGTCCAGGGGACCGCGTGCAGCGCGATGCTCTCCAGGAAATCGGTGGTCACTGTTGCGAGCTGCACCAACCTGACCCCGCCCGAAGGGACATCAGGGGAGGGGCCCTCCGCAGTTTCTCGAGGCTTGGCCGTGCATGCACCGCCCTCCCAGCGGGCATCCTGACTGAGATGACGGTAACAGCGACCGCGGTTGGTTTTCTGAATCATCTTGGGGCTTCTTCGGACCATATGTCTGTTGCGCTTTCCCTGGCGCTACCAACAACCACTGGTCAGTTTTCGATTCCGAAATGGTTCAGCATGCACGCGGAGTTCTGTCGGATGGTCAGCGGACAACTACAGGCGTTGGTGTTGCCGAGTAACTTAGAGGAGAGGGTGCTTCGAGTGAAGGCCCTCTTTGCCGCGGTAGCTATTGAAATCCGTCAGTCTCTTAAATCCAGGCAGGCCTCGAACGACGCGGAGCGACTCCACTTTGCTTTTCTTGCATACCGGGGATGGAGAGGGCAGCAGCGGTATGTATGCCTCCGCGCGCTGCGTTGCTATGGTGCTCTCTACCGCTTCTTCGATGTCGACCGTGGAGTTTGCGCTGATCCTGGTGGGCTTCGCTCTCTCATTGTTACCTTGAAGCTTCGGTGGTTCGATCGCGAGGAGGGGGGGGTGAGCATGGCGGTGAGGTTGAGGGGGTTAAGAATCGACGGAAGGAGAGGCTGGTTGCGATGAGGAGGGGGTGGGCGTCGATGACGAGGCGCGTGGGACTCCGCGGCGTTCTGGGCGAAGGGGGCATGCCGTGTCCGTGCCCCGATATCGCTGCCGGCGCCTTGGCGGCGCACTGGTCTCGGTTGTTCGCGTGCCAGGAGCGCAATGCACAGCGCTGGCCTGCCATTCTCGAGCACGTCCAGCGGTGCGAGGTCTGCCCTGGCCCTCCAAGGCGGCGTCTCGACCATAGCGGGTTCTCCCGAAGGGTGCGGCGCAAAAGTCACTCTGCCCCGGGGCCCGACGGGGTCCCGCATGGCTGCTGGGCGGCCCCTGAGGCGGTCGAGGTTTTATTTGAGGCCTATGGGCGTATTTTTGATTCCGCTGGGGATTGTCTGCCGAGTGAGTGCCGTGCTCGCCGCGTGGTTTTCCTGCCCATGGGTGGCGACCCTGCTGATCAGAGCGCATTTGTCTCGCGGGCACCTGGGGCGACTCGACCCCTATCCCTCGCTAACGCAGGCGCGAAAATCTGGTCCGACGCTTTCTGCGTGGGCCTGAATGGCGTCGCCCCGCGCACGGTACTGGGGCGGCGGCGGGGGTGGGGGGTCAAAGGGCGGAATATCTTGGATGATGTCGTCGAGGTCGAGGAATGGGGTCTCCTGCAGCATATGAGGGGTCGCGATGGGGCGGGAATGCTCTTCGCTGACTTCCGAGCTGCCTTTCCATCGATTTTCTCTGTGTGGATCTTGCAGGTTCTCCAGGCCATGGGTTCCGAGGGCTGCGGTTGGTCTCTTGGAGGCCCTGCGCATGGGCAATATTGCCGCGGTGAATTTCGCTGGTGCTTCTGAAATCAGGTTCGACATTGGACGGGGGGTCCGCCAAGGGAGCGCTGCTTCGATGGCCCTGTTCGCCCTCGCCCTGGACCCCGTCTCGCGGTGCATTCGGTACATGGGGGCTCCTAGGTTGGAGCTGGAACTTGCATGCGCAGATGATTGCTGCTTCGGCCTTCAGAACATGATCACGGATTTGATGCCTACCTTGCTCCTTCTTGGTCTGTTGTCCGCTGCCATTGGCCTGTCTCTGAACCTCGGGAAGTGCTGTGTTCCTGAGATGCGTCTCTCTCTCTCTCTCTCTCTCTCTCTCTCTCTCTCTCTCTCTCTCTCTCTCTCTCTCTCATGCGAGCGCCTGTCGGAGCGCGCGCGACGGAAGGGTAGCAGTTTCCAGGCGATTCGGTTTGGGACTCATGCCCCGTGCTTAGGGCCATGGGTTGGACCGACGGCACACGCAGTAGCATGGCAGGAAGTGATGGTTCAGTTCTGGCAGCGAGTTCGTCTGTGGCGCGTTTTTTTTTTTTGGGGGGGGGTCTCTCTCTCTCTCTCTCTCTCTCTCTCTCTCTCTCTCTCTCTCTCTCTTTCTTGGTCTGCCCGCTACTATTCGACTCTTCCACTCGAATTGCCTCTCCGTGTTGCAGTATCCAATGCAGCTTGTCAGAGTCACCCCCGAATTTGTACGTCAGTATCGGGAAGCCCTACAGATCCTGACCGCGGGTCCCAGACATGCGCTAAACCGCTGTATGCTCACGCAGATGAGGCATCTTGGGGTATCTCTGGAATGTGTGGACCTTGGGATAATGGACAAGGCTACTATGTTTAGGGTTCTATCGAAGTCTCGGGCGCTAGACAGCGCCCTATATGCGTTCGAGGAGCTTACGGCGGGACTTCTGGATGATGATTTTATCCCTGGGCGAACTAGTTCTGTCTGGTGGAGGATGCACCTCGGCCAGGTTTCATAATGTCGATCGGGGGTGCTGCTTCAGGTGTGGGGGCTCGGATGACATGCCCCACTATAAGTTTTGCCCTGAGTTGAAGACCCTTGCTCGTAGGTGGCCCCCGGGCGTCGTGAACCTTCCAGGACTGCGGCGGGAGCAGGTCGAGAGCGACGAAGGTTGGTTCCCGAGGCTGTCCTTTCTTGGGCCGTGCCGGGGGCAAGATCGTGATCTGGCCAGTGCAGTTATCTTGGATGCTTTCCTGAAGACCCACGCCGACCATCGGCTGAACACCAGGTTTTTGCCCTAAGGCCCTCTTCCATGCCCGGCTCCGGCTATCCGTTCGCCGCTACAGGAAGGTTGCCAAGGTATTCCGTGGAGTGAGACCCACTCAGCCTCAACGTGTCAGTCAGCCTGACCCTTGCGTGGTTGCTCTCTCCTTCCGTCCCCTTCTTCTCCCCCCTTTGATTGTTGGTTTGGTGCTTTCGCGGTGCGGGTCGTTGTGTTGGGTCCTCTGTTGCTGTTCCCCCCCCCATTGCCCCCCTTGCGGTTGCGGTGTCTTGTGTCCCTCCCCTGTGTGTGTGTGTGTGTCCCCTGCGTGCTCCGCTGTGCTGTTGCTGCTGGCTGCTTTGTGGTGTGGCTTGGGTTGGGGCCTTCGCCTTTCGCGGTCGAGGGTCGAGGGAGCGCGGCGACGGCGCGCGCGCGGCCGCCCCCCGCCGCCCCCACCCGCCGCCACCCGCCGCCGCCTGCATCCGCCTCTCTTCGCCTCGTTCCTGGAGTGCCTTCCGCCTGCTCTCTTAGGGAGCTGATGTGGTCGGCGCGTGCATGCGTCCCTGTCCCTGTGTGCCTGGGTTGTGGGTCTGCAGAGGTGAGACGGACCCGCAAGCAGTCCAGTCTCTGTGGGGCATGGGCCCCGCTTGTCAAAAAAACTCCTCCTCCTCCTCCTCATCCTCCTCCTCCTCCTCCTCCTCCTCCTCCTCCTCCTCCTCCTCCTCCTCCTCCTCCTCCTCCTGCTCTCTCCCTGCTCGTTTTCGTCTCCTGGGCACGGGTGCGCACGACCGCAGGGCGGTTGGAGTGAGGCAGCGCCGCGCACGTGCCACGGCCCAGCCGGCGTCTCCCCGGCCACGAGCGGCCGCGGGCGACCGGAGTCTGTGTGCCGGCGGCGGCCGTTGGCGGCGTGGAGGCACCACGGAGGCTGTCCGAAGGTGCTCACGAGGCCGACGGCGCCTCTCTCCTTCCCCTCTTCCTCCTCCTCCTCCTCCTCCTCCTCCCTCCTCCTCCTCTCTCCTCCCTCCCCTCCTCCTCCTCCTCCTCCTCCTCCTCCTCCTCCTCCTCCTCCTTCTCCTCCTCCTCCTCCTCGATCCTCCTCCTCCTCCTCCTCCTCCTCCTCCTCCTCCTCCTCCTCGAAGGTGCTCACGAGGCCGACGGCGGGAGCTGGACGAGAGCTCCGAAGCGGCGGCATCCCCGAGTTGCCTTTTAGGCTTCCCAAGTTGGGTCTGGGCTGTTGGGGTGGAAGGGTCGCGCCGCATCGCCGATGCATCGCCCATGCATCGCCCATGCGGCTCGATGTGGGGCCTGTTTTTCCCCCCGCGCCGACGTCACCGAAGCATCGCCGATCCATCGCCGACGCATCGGTGATGCGTCTACGATGCGGCGCGATCGTCCGATCGCAGTTGCTCCGACCCCACTTGTGGGCCGAGGTAGCCACGGCCTGCAAGGCAGTTCGGCCAAGCGTCGGGCCTTCTGGGGTTGTCCACGGATCGATTCTTTCGAATCGGCGTGCTGATATTTTCGAGCCGCCGACGAAGGCTTGGGTCTGCCTGGCCCCAGGCATCAGACAACAGTGGATCTCACAGACGGCGCCCGCTGACCCACATGATCACCACGCTTGTCGATACTTCCTGGGGGGATCAAGTGAAAGACGTGTGTTGACCAGCGTGAAACGCCAGCGGAGCCATCAGAGCAAGTAGTGAGCTGCCATGATTCGCCAAGATCGGCGGCGGACGTGCAACTCTGCTGGGCCCCCAGCCCCGGCTGCAGGCCACCTGCAGTTTGGCGCCCCGTACTTCGGGGACAGCTGCCTGGCGGCGTTGGACACCAACGCGCGCACGCGGAGCCAATTCCGGCGCAGCCGATGCAAGTCGCGGGCGGCGACAAGAGACGTGTGGCTTTGTCGTGTCTTGCGCACCCATTCTTGAGAACGATCGCGCGCGTGTTTCTGCGAGCGAGTGCGCGCGCATGTGTACGTGCCCGCGCGAGTGTGTGTGTGTGTGTGTGTGTGTGCGTGCGTGCGTGCGTGCGTGCGTGTGTGCGTGCGTGCGTGCGTGCGTGCGTGCGTGTGCGTGCGTGCGTGCGTGCGTGCGTGCGTGCGTGCGTGCGTGCGTGCGTGCGTGCGTGCGTGCGTGCGTGCGTGCGTGTGTGTGTGTGAGTGTGTGTGAGTGTGTGTGTGTGTGTGTGCGTGTGTGTGCGTGCGTGCGTGCGTGCGTGCGTGCGTGCGTGTGCGTGTGCGTTTGCGTGTGCGTGTGCGTGTGCGTGTGCGTGTGCGTGTGTGCATGGCCTCTGGCCCATTCCGCTATCGTGCCTGGGTTGTGGGGCCTCCTGGATGTTCGTTGGGATGTCGCGGGGGGCCTCTCGGGGGCGTTTTTGGGGTGCCATTTTGAAGCCTCTTGGGGGCCGTTTCGGGGTTTCTTGGGGCGTCTTTGGGGCCTTTTGAGGGTCTCTTGGGCTCTTGGGGCCTCTTAGGGGCCGCTTGGGGCCTCCTTGGGGCCTCCTCAGGGCCTCTTGGGACAGAAGGCTCGGATTTTCGGTTCGTGTTTCCCCTCTTGGGCCCTTCTGGGTGCTATATTTGGGCCCTCTTGGGCCGTCTTGTGTGCCTCTATGGCCGTCTTACCGTGTTGGGGCCCTCCTGAGGGCCTCTTGGGCCGTCTTGGGGCGGTCCTGGAGACCTCTTGGGCCACCTTGGAGCGTCCGGAGCTCGAAAAGTCGAGGGCCCCAAAATCATTGAAAAACCAACGGGGAATCAATGATGTTGGCCCTCTTCGGCATGCTTTTGGGGCTCTCTTGGAGCGTCGTGGAGGCCTCTTGGGCCGTTTGGGGGCCATCTTGGGCGGCTTGGTGCGATCCTTCGGCGACTCGGCGCCTTCTTGAACCGTGTCGGGGGCCTCTTGGCGTCTTCTCGGCCCATCGTGGGTCAAGGCTGCGCCCCCCCTTGCGGCTCTGCCGAGGTCGGCCAACACGACCTGGGACCTGGTCGAGGTCGGCCCAGGGCGCTTCTCCATCGCCATGAGAGAGCACAAGGATGGACGCCTGGGCGGCCCGAAGAGTCAGTCGAGCATAGGGTTTGCCCATTCGGGTATTTCTCTGCGTTTGCCGCTCCGATCTCTCCCTCCTCCCTCCTCCTCTTTGCCTTCTCCGCCTCCTGCCCTGAGGAGGATGAGGGATGATGGAACTACGTATTATGATGCTGTTTACGACCATGAGGATGCCAGCGAGAATCGTGATGCTGCTGGTGATGACGATGATGCTGCTGCTGATGGTGATGATGATGTTGCTCCACCTGCCTGGAGGGAGTCCGCTCGGATGCTGACAGGGAGAATACTGAGTACGATGATGATGACGAGGAGGAGGAGGAGGAGGCAGGAGCTGAGGAATGACGCAGGACGAAGGAGGAGGAGTTGGAAGAGTGGGTGGTGGAGGGATGAGGAGGAGGAGGATGAGGAGGAGGAGGAGGAGGGGGAGGAGGAGGGAGAATCAGGAGGAGGAGGAGGAGGAGGAGGAAGAGGAGGAGGAGGAGGAGGAGGAGGAGGAGGAGGAGGACTTGTGCAAACCCAAGACTCATCAACGATATTGCAAACACCCCTCCCTGCAAGGATCCATTTCCACTGGGGGACGTGGCCCGTTGGAAGAAAACCGTTTACCCAAAACTGTGCCAGAGCACCACTCCTGGGACTTTAATGCCGCGAATCGTTGTTGTGTCTTGACGGTATTTTATCGTGCCAGGGTACCACCCCTGGGATTTCAACGCTGCAAATCAATGTGACGGTTGCGGCTTGACATTCCGACATCGTGAAAAAAACAATAGTTCTAAGATTTTAACCATGAGAATCCTTGAAGCAGTTGTGAATTCTCAAGGCCAGTCTGCGCGGCGCTAAGGCGAGAGCCACATTTTGAAAAGGAACCGCTTTCCACTGGTGAAACTCTTGCGAACTTTCAAGACGACTGCGCGGGGCGCTAAGCCGAGAGCTACACGTTGAAAAGGAGCCGCCCTTCATCAGTGAAACTCTTGCAAACTTTAGACACGAATGTGCTCCGTGCCAGAGCGATAGCAGGGCGATAGCTACATCAGAGTGAGGGGGCCGAACGGTCATTCACTGTCCCTGGATGCGTGGCTGAAATGGGATTCCGCGGTGCGGATTCTCGTTGTTGTTGTTTGTTGTTGTTGTTTGTTGTTGTTGTTGTTGTTGTTGTTGTTGTTGTTGTTGTTGTTGTTGTTGTTTGTTCTTGTTGTTTGTTGTTGTTGTTTGTTGTCGTCGTCCCACCCGCAACCCGCCCCGCGACCCCACCCGCGACCCATCCCGCGACCCACCCCGCGACCCACCCCGCGACCCACCCCGCGACCCACCCGCGACCCACCCGCGACCCACCCCGCGACCCACCCCGCGACCAACCCCGCGACCCACCCGCGACCCACCCGCGACCCACCCGCGACCCACCCCGCGACCCGCCCGCGGCCCACCCCGCGACCCACCCGCGACCCACCCGCGACCCACCCGCGACCCATCCGCGACCCACCCGCGACCCACCCCGCGATCCACCCGCGACCCACCTTCGACCCAAACCACGTTCAAGGTACAAACCACAATTTTCGGCGCCTGCGGCGGGCTTTTTTTGCATTCCTTCCAGGTGGAGAGCCCGCGACCCACCCCGCGACCAACTCGCGACCAACCCGCGACCCAAACCACGTTCAGGGTACAAACCACATTTTTCGGCGCCTGCGGCGGGCATCTTTTGCATTCGTTTCAGGTGGAGAGCCCGCGGCCCACCCGCGACCACATTCAGGGTACAAAAACATTATTTTGGCGCCTGCGGCGGGCATATTTTGCATTCGTTCCCGGTGGAGAACCCGCGGCCCACCCGCGACCCATTCCACGTTCAGTATACAAACCAAATTGTTCGGCGCCTGCGGCGGGCTGCTTTTGCATTCCTTTCAGGTGGAGGTGGAGAGCCCGCGACCCACCCGCGACCCAAACCACGTTCATTGAACAAATCAATGCCGCACAAGCGCGGCGGCGGATTTTTGCATGCCGCCTGAGCCCGCAACGACCTCTTCAAGCCCCGTGCATCCACACCAGCCCGTCCAGCAACTTTGCCCTGGCGAGTTGCCTTGATCAGAGAAGTCGGGGAGCATACAGTGGAAAAAAGGATTGCGTTGCCGTGATCTTGGGAAAAGGAGGGGGAGGCAGGAGGAGTAAACAGGGGACGAGGAGAACGCGAAAGAAGAGAGGATGTAAGGAGAATGTGGAGAAAGAGGAGGAGGAGGAGGAGGAGGAGGAGCAGGAGGACGAGGGGGGGGAGGAGGCGGAGGAGGGGGAGGAGGAGGACGAGGGGGAGGAGGGGGAGGAAGGGGAGGAGGATGATGATGGACGACAATGGGAGGACGATGGTGGAGGCCGATGAGGGGGTGGACGACAATGGGAGGACGATGATGGAAGGACGAGGGGGGGAGAGGGAGGACGAGGAAGAAGAGGAGGAGGAGGAGGAGGACGAGGTGGAGGAGCAGGATGACGATGACGATGACGACGAGGACGAGGACGAGGAAGAGGAGGAGGAGGAGGAGGAGGAGGAGGAGGAGGAGGAGGAGAGCGCCATCGACAGGGAAGGTGGGGGCCACGAGGTCCGCCGGCTCGATGACGCCCGCGTCGCCCGCGCCCGCCCCCTCACTCTTATCCGCAATTGCGGGGTGCTACGTATTGAAAATGAGCCGCCCTCCATCCGTGAAGCAATTGCAATTTTCAAACACGAGTGTGCTCGGCGCTAAGGCGAGAGTTACATGTTGAAAACCATCCGCCTTCCACGAGGGAAACTCTTGCAAAGTTCTAAAACGAAGGTGCAAGGCGCCCAGGCGAGAGGCACATTTTGAAAGCGACCCGCTCTCTATCCGTGAAACTCTTGCAAACTTTCAGATTCAGGGGAAGTCTCAGGCGGAACCCCAGGCCCGCCTTTTCGACCGGCCAAAGGGGGCGACGGGAAGGAGTTCTTTTGTAGGAGGAAGGATGGAGGAGGGGCAGTCTCCTCCTCCATCCTGCTTTGGCTCGCCGCCTCCTCCGCAATCCCTACTCCCCCACCTCCTCTTCCTTCTGCTTCCGTGGTCCCACCTCTCCAATTGCGCGTACCTCTGCTAGGATCTGGGCCTGTTGTTCTTGCGCGTGTTGTGGCATGCGCGGGGGTCAGCAGTTACTTGGGTGGGGGGGGCCCAGTCTACCTTTCCCCCGCCCCCGACCTGCCAGGGGTACTTGAAACGTACTGCTGGAGGGCAACGGCCCAATGGCTTACAGTAATAATGAACCCGTTCGGAAGGCCCAGGAAAGGTCTTCGTGATGGGTTGTCGGAACTTCGTTCGTCCAGGAACTGTAGCTCCAATCCCGTCCCCCAGCGTCGTCCTTCCCCTGCCCCCCTTCCTCATGACTCCTCCTCCGTCTTATCCTTCTTTTTCCGCCAGCTCCTCCCTCTTCCCCCCCGTTGCCCCACTGCCCTCCTCCCCCCCCGTTGCCCCACTGCCCTCCTCCCCCTCCCTCCTCCTCCTCCTCCTCCTCCTCCTCCTCCTCCTCCCCTGTTCTTCCTCCTCCCCCCCTCGTCCTTTTCCCGCTCATTCCTCCCCCCTGTTCTTGCTGCTGCTCCTGTTCTCCTCCTCATTGCAGTCCCCACCCTCATCCCAGTGCTACTCCTGTGTCCCCCTGGATCGCGAATCTTACGTCCGCCAGCCCCAATCTTGAGTCAGAATGCACATATTGACTATACGCTATAGCTGATCCTAATTCTGGCCGTAACCCTACTTGCCTGAGCCTCTTCAGATTGTCACGTCCTTCTTTCTCTGCGAGCGTTTGGAGAATTGTCCCTCCTTTGGACCGCCAGGACCTGTGCATGGGCGCCACGTCGCAGGCGTCGCCCAAGAGCCCGTTCAGCGTCTCGCTGTCGCGATGCACGCCAGACGATCCGGAGCAGATCTGGGAGTGGGTGGAGTGAGCTCGCGCACAAAACGCACGCTGCCGCTCGCACCCAGGACCCCCTCGTCGCAAACTCAAGGCAAAGGCACAAGGGATGTTCTGTCTGCTTTTGGAGCCCCCCAGAACTGCCAAACACAGTTCGGGATGAAAAACCAGTCCCGGTGTAAGGGGGGTCGAGACTTACTGGGCCGAGGTTGCGATGAAGACGACGTCGGAGATCTTGACCCACCCCTGCTTGCGCTCCTCTGTGGGGCAGGCTCAGGCGCTGGCGGAGCGAGCGCCCACAGCGGACAAAAGATGCGCACGCTGCTGCTCTCCTCTCGCGTGTCTTCCGAGAACGCCTGGGCGTGGGCTCATTTCGTCTCCTCCAGCTGGACTCGACTCGATTTCGATGATTCCCGATTCCGATTCCATTTGACTTCAGATTCCGATTGGGACTCCGATGTTTGAATGAAGGCCTACGAACCTGCCGATCTCCGCCGATTCGACTTCTTCTGACTTGGCTACCGATTCCCCCTCCTCCTCCTCCTCCTCCTCCTCCTCCTCTTCCTCCTCCTCCTCCTCCTCCTCCTCCTCGCCGATCCGATTCATTTCGATCACCGATCCGACTTGTCGATCCGATTCTCGGCTCTCCTGCCGGGAGTGGGCGGAGCGAGCGTCTGCGAAGACACGAGCTCACTCTGACTTTCCCCTCCCGGTTGGACCCTGTCTGGCAAGCGTCTTGCCCTGGCTGGCAAGCGCCCCCAGATCACCGTCTTGCCCTGGCTATCGATACGCCCCGACGATGGCCCAGACCTGCACAATGTCATGCTGGCACCACCTTGCTACAGGTGTCTCAACATGGAACGGAACGGCGGGAGTAGATATGTATCTGATGTTCCACGTGCAATGTCGCACGCTGTTTTCGCCCGCTGCGCTGGCCCGCACGAACGCTGTTTTTCGGAGTCCTCGGCTCTCCCCGAAGTTGCCACCTTTTGTGCAACGTGTCGCGGGCATCCCCTCCACAGGTGACCAACCAGTTGACCAGCAGACTCCGACGCTCGAGGCCCAGAAAGCAAGGGGGGGACGAGAGGATGAGTACGGTAGGTTCGCGTCGTGTCGACCGGCGGCGACCCCAGCGCGGACGTTCAAGGTTGAACGCCGCCGGCGACCCAGAATCGATCGATGTTGAACGATCGGGCGTTGCGGCAGCGGCCGATCGTTCAAGGTTGAACGATCCCCGCGGTGTCCGAAACCAACTCCAAAGTCGGCACGACACGGACCTGCCGTAATCCGATAGCCCTTATAACGGCGACGATGGAACACAGTGCCGGGGAACTGCTTTGAACATCACCAGTCGTTCAAAGCAGTGCCCCGGCACTGCTTTGAACGATGCGGAAATGCGATCAGCAGGAGCCTTCGTCTGTTCCTTCTCCTCTTCTCGTCGCTGTATGCTCTTCCTTGTCCTCCCTCCTCCCCCGTTCCCTCTCTAATTAATTACCTCGTTCTCCCAGTCTCACGCGCACTCTTCCTCCCCCCTCTCCTCCTCCTCTTCCTGCTTCTCCTCCTCGTCCTCCTCCTCCTCCGCCTCCTCCCCCTCATTTGTTATATTTCTCCGTCCTTGTCCTCCTGTCCCCGTTCTCCTTCTCCCTCTCCTCCTCCTCCTCCTCGTCGTCGTCGTCCTCCTCCTCTTCCTCCTCCTCCTCCTCCTCCTCCTCCTCTTCCTCCTCCTCCTCCTCCTCCTCCTCCTCCTCCTCCCCTTCTTCCTCCTCCTCCTCCCCCTTTTCCTCTCCCTCCTCCTCCTCCTCCTCCTCCTCCCCCTTCCCCCTCTTCCTCCTCTGCTATCACTCCTCCATAATTCCTGTCCGCTCCTCCCCTTCACTGATCTTCCTCTTCGTCATCATCATCCCTTTCGTCGCACGCCTCTTAATCCTCAATCGGTTCCCAATCTTCTCGACTTTCTTGTCATCCGCGTCCTTGGCTGTTGGAGGGGCCTCAGGAATTCTCAGGGCTCTTGTGTTGCACGCGAAGGCACACCTCCCAGGAACGCATCATCCTCCTCACATTCACCCTCCTCCTCCTCATCCTCCTCCTCCATGCACGTTCGGCTCAAGCCCGCGCCGACGGTAGGTTTCACGGCGGTTGGGCGGGCTCGCGCCCGCCTCCGCGGCCTGCAGTCGGGGCAGAGATGCGTGCAGGGTGGGATGACAAAGCGGAAGAGGAAACACGGGCCGCAGTTGCGGATTCTTCAAAGAGCAGCGGCGGCGGTTGGGGAACAAGTGGGGGTTGGGGCGGCCGCAGTGGCGGATACGGCGGCGGAGGTGACCGCAGTGGCGGCTGGGGCGGCGGAGATTCTCTTGGCGGATGGAGAGGAAAAGCGCAGGATGGCGGCGACGGAAGTGACCGCAGTCGCGGATGGGAGGGCGGCGGATGGGGCGGCAACGGATGCGAGGGTTGGGGAATGGAGGGCGCCCGCTGGTGGGACGACGAGGGTGGCTGGTGGAATGCATGGGAAGGTGGCCGCTCGAGTGCCTCGGCAGGTTCTCCTGCCGCGGAGCCCGCGGCCGCAACAGCGGCGGGCAAAGGAGGCGGTCCCCTGCTTCCCCCAGGGCGCGAAGAACAAGGCGCAGTTGCGCTGTTTCAAATTGTGCGCAATGAGCCGCTGCCAATTTTCAAGTTGGAATTCTTCGAGAACTTCAGGGCGAACTGGAACGGCAATTATAAGCAGCACAACGCGGCCTTGAAGTGGTTCCGAGACGAGTACGAAGACCGAGAAAACCCTTTCGGCAGCCGCACGCCCGTCTTCGGAGGTACCGCAGTTGCGGAGGAAATTTCGAAGATCCTTAAGTACCGCGCAAAGGGGAAGGCGCAGGACAACAGGGATTGGGACTGGGACCACACTGTCAAAGTGCCGTGGTCTTGGCTGGAGATGGTCGCGCAGATGGATGGACCTACAATGCTGCGCGTCGTGTGCGGCCCTGACAATGACCGCAGTCGCGGGTTGGTCCGCTGCGAGTGCCGCCCGTGCCCTAGCAGTCTCGACAACATGAGGCACACGAAAGGGGTGGACAGAGGACAGGCGCAAAGAATCCCTCTGCCCCAGTGGGATTTCGTCCTCATCCGCGACGACGGCTCGGGCATTCGCGTCCACCCATCCTGGTCTAGCCCGAAGTTCAACACGTATGAGGTGGAGCCGCACTCGCATCCCGTGCGGGGCCCGAGGGCAGGTCTCGGCAAGAGCGATGGCCACGGAACGTTCACGTTCTGGAAGATGCTGCACGCCCATCCGAATCCTGGGCGGTTCGACGCGAGCAAGGGGGCGCAGCTGCAACCGCGGTGGTCCGCGCAGCCTTGACACCGCAGTTGCGGGATTGCGCAGCCATGGAACCGCAGTTGCGGGGACCGATCGCGTGACGCCGCGCTCGTTTGACTCACTATGCGCGCTTTCGGCCGCAGTTGCGGCGCTGCCTTCTAGCGACTTCATACAGCTTGGCCGCAGTTGCGGCGCTCCCACGACTGACCGCTGTAATTAGGTGCTTCGGGCGCGCATCACCTCCGTTGAAGCACTCGTGACGTTAATTAGCGCGGCCGCAGTTGCGGAGACAGGTACTTAAACAGATGGATCCGCAGTTGTTCGTCGTCCTCGTCGCCCCTTCCCCGTCGTCCTCGTCGCAGTCTCCTCCCTCCGCCTTTCCTCCTCGTCGCAGTTCCTTCCGTTGGCCGTAGCCCGCCTCCGTTGGCCGAGTCATTTCCCGTCGTCCTCGTCGCAGTCCCCCCCGAGGGCCGCAGTTGCGGACTTTGTTGATTCCTCCTCCTCCGTTTCTGCCCCGTCATCCTCGTCGCAGTCCCCTTGCTCCTTTCACCCTCGTCTGAGCTCTTCGCGCCATCCTCTTCCGTCGCGTCCTCTCCATCCTCCTCTTCGCCTTCCTCGTCCTCATCCCCGCCGTCTCCCTCGTTGTCCTTCCTCTCCCAAGCCGGCCGCAGTTCCCCCGTCGGACGGGGGCCGCGCGCGGCCACGCCATGGACCCAGGTCGCAAAGCCGAGGTCGACAAGCGGTTCGCCGAGCTGAAGCAGCAACTGCGGGAAAGGTTCGGCCTGCAAGGGGCTGCCGCGGATGCCGCAGTCGCGGAGCCGACGGAGGACCGCAGTTGCGGAAGCCCCGAGCGACCGCCGCGCGAGGCCTCCCCGCAGTCGTCTAGCTCCTCGCGGGAATATCGGCCGCCGCCGCCGATAAGCGCTGCGAGTGGGAGCTCTGCTGGTGGGAGGCGCGAAGAGGCGCAGTTGCGCAGGGCGCACTTGACCCCCAAGGCAAAATGGGGGCCTCGGGCGCAGACGCCGACGAAGCAGCAGGACCAACCAGCAGTGACGGGAGCCGCCACCGAGACCGCAGTTGCGGGGGTGGCCGGCGAGCCAGGTGCCGCGCGCGGCTCATCTGGGAGCAGCGCGCCCTCGGCCGTGCTGCTCGCAGCCGAGTCCAAACGAGGCGCCCAACCCGAAGACGAGGCCGCCTCCCAGGAGAAAGCCGCCGAGACAATCGCCTCGGCCGATTCGCGGCCGAGGAAAAGGCCGCCTCCCACGGAAGGCTCGCCGCTGTCAGAACCGCAGTCGCGGGGTCGCGCGGGGCCTCCGTCGGAACCGCAGTTGCGGGAAGATGCGGGAGCACCGCGGAAGAAGCAGCGGACCAGGTCCCCTCCAGGGATAAACTACGTTGGGGAACGCCCCAAGTGGAACGAAGGATTCCTTCGTACAGCAGACGGCAATCGGGTTCCGTCCACCGTCGCTTTGGTGTTCAACGTGGTGGTCATCACGAAGGTGGCAACAAAGGAAGATGTCTTCAGGTGCATCTTGCACCAAACTGCGGCGGTCGTCTTCGTCGTATGGGACCCCGAGCTGTTCCGCACGGGGAACGTCGAAGGCGCTTGCAGCTACGACGTTCCCGTTGGACTCAGGACTGCCGTCGAAGACGCTGTCACTTTGAAAAACAACACCGCGGAGCCTTACTGGACGACGGTTGGCCTGTTCAGAGACACGGGCGTGGTGCTCGTGCGCCCGCACATCATCGCAGAGACCGCAGTTGCGGGTCATGTTGTTGGGGCCACCCACGCCGTCACGATCCTGCGCTTTCGCCTGAAGGGCTCCGACATGAATCCTGCCGCGGTGATCCGTTTTGCCGTCGTGTCCAGACACGCAGTCACCGAACGTCTCCAACAGAAGATCACGCAATCAGAACAAACAGCGTGGCATCCAAGTTTCTTCAAGGACGCGGTTGCTTCCATCCATAAAAATGATGTGCGGTTCTTGTGCGGCCTGTTTG